CCTGCTGTGTTCATCCAGCTCTACACCTTGGTATCTCAGATTCTCCAGCATCTGCAGTTCCTACTATCTCTTAAAATAGTTAGGTGCTTGTTTTTGACCAGCACAGACTTGATGGACCCTTTTATGCGCTGCAGACCTCTGATTCAATGAGAACTTGCTGCTTTTTTTCTTGTAATAAAACAAAACACTATATTTAGTAATTGATTCACTTAGGTGAGGATGAGAGTCACGATATTTAAGATTAGTATTAATTTGTGCACCTGAATATTAAACATGTTGCCTTTGCATGGGAGCAGTTATAGCTTCAAACTAACACAAGTTGGAGCCTTGATTTCTCCTTCTCATAATTGATCAGCTTCTGAACCAGAAATTAGTTTTACAGTTAATGGAAATGGAACTTTACTTGAAATTTGTGCCCAAGTCGAGGAGTGCAAAAAGGTCGCATGACCCTTCAAAGCTTCTTTCTTTCCCCAGCCTCATTCTCCTTCAGTCAATATAAACACTAAACAAAACAGAAGCAGTATTTCAAAGCACAAAGCTAGACCGGCACATTAGTTCCAGTGTGACTACAGAGACTGTAAGTTTCGTGATACAGGTTAATAATGTTCAGCTTTGAAATGTATTTTGAAATATTTTCAGTAATATTATCTCTGTACAGTATGACTCTTTATTTTGAATTCATATTACAGGACTAGTAAAAGAAGCCATGGGTAAATCATTCTCCCATTTACCTAATTTTGCAAGACAAAGCAAGAAAGAGGATGCAGCACCTATCGTGCCCGAGACTGAAAGAACAGTTCCAGAAAACACAAACGAAGTACAAGAGAGTAATGGAGAGGCCAGTTCTCATGTTCCTTATGTAGAGTTTGTGGGAAGAGAGAGTATCACATGTCCCACCTGTCAAGGAACAGGACGAATACCCAGAGGTAGATAATTTTCTTAGCACGTTCGCGAGAAGGATGATGTTAGTCAAACAAAACATGCTTCATCCTTCCTTTCTCCAGTAGTAACTCCCTGCCACCCCTGTTTAAAGGAGAGGAACATTCCACTGTAGCCATGAACAAGCAATAACAATTCCAAACACGCTGTTGTTGGCAATACATTTGTCAACTCGGAAGAATTAGGGACAGTGTTTTATGAAGTAGTATTGATGCCAAACATATAATGGTGACATTCTTCTTGACATTATTTTAACGTATTTATTTTATTTACGTCAATGCTGTGCCCTTTTCCACTGCTAAGTGTGTTCTATATACATGCTCTCTGGCCTTAGTTGTTGCTACTTTGGATCTAGAAATTATACAAGTCAGTGTTGCCAATGTTTGTGATTTACTGGAGAGAACACTGCCAATGGCTTGGACGCTGTTCAGATATCTACAGTACAAACAAATGCCGGTTTACATTGAGACTTCTCTGTTCCTTTTGAACAAGTATGAATTTTAGCAAAAGTGTTTTGACAGTTACTCTTTAGGAGAATTCTTTGCGGTTCTGTTCTGCTCTGTAACTTGGACTTATGTGTCCTTGATGAGTTTTAGTGGGGCTCAGACTGGCCCAGGAATTGGAACAACAGTAAAAGACCAAAGTTATCTAATTTAGCTTTATCACAAAGCAAAATGCTGGAGACTAAAATAAAAATAAAAGAAGCTGGAAATGCTCCAGAGGTTGGATAACATCTGTGGAGACAGAAACCAAGTTAACAATTCAGGTATAACAAGGTGTAGAGCTGGATGAACACAGCAGGCCAAGCAGCATCAGAGGAGCAGGAAAGCTGATTTTTCAGGCCTAGACCCTTCTTCAGAAATGGGGGAGGGGAAGGGGGTTCTGAAATAAATAGGGAGAGAGGGGGAGGCAGATAGAAGATGAATAGAGGAGAAGCTAGGTGGAGAGGAGACAGTTCAGGTCAATAACCTTTCATCAGTTTATCACCTGAAATGTTAATTCTATTTCTGTCTCCACTGATGCTGCCAAACTTGCGAAGTATCGTCAACAGTTCTGCTGTTTGATTTTTCACTGCGAGCCTTTTTAAAAAAAAATATTTTGATTAAGTTGATTTAATGCAAATCCTAAGTTCAAAGTCAAAAGGTTGTTCCACAGAATTCTTTACCTAAAAGTAGTTCGCAAGTTTTCAGAGCTAACTTAAGCTGCCAAGTTGGTGAGAGTCTTACTCATGCATTCAATAATGGGACAGACATTATGCAGATAAAATAATTGCATATTTGTTAGACAATGATTCTTAATAAGTTGAGTGATTATTTTGACCACCTGCATGTTACGTACACCAGTATCCATAAATTGAATTAGGCAGCTAAGACCTTCAGAGATTTCCAAATATATTTTTGTAAATATAGTAAGTTATTTTTGATTACATGTTATTTCCCTGTCCAGAAACCGGCACTCAGAATTTAGCTCTTTAGTTATTTTAATCAACCATGTTATGATACACCTCAGAGACAGGTGGGACTGGAACCTGGATCTACTGTCCCAGAGAAGGGTTATTACCACAACACCATAAGACCCTCGAATTCAGCTTCTGTTTTTTATGGATAAATCTGGACATGTGATGATACACTTTGGGAGGAGATGCGACTTGACCAACACCTATCAGCGACAAGAGCCTGATTGGTGCTGAACTCGGATCTTTTTCAATTAACCTGGTTAAACCTGTTACGACACAGTGGAGCAGGTCAGACTTGAACCCAGTCTTCCTGGCTCAAAGGTAGGGACACTCCAATGCACCGCAACAGCTACTGGAAACTCAGCTTTTTTTTAAACTAACTTGTTTAGACACGTCACAACTGATGGGACATGTATACAGACCTTCTGGTTTCTAGTGTAATCTGATCAAGATGTGTGTCACATCATATTTGGACAGGTTGATTAAAAATATCTAAGAGCTGAGTTTAGTGAGGCTTGTGATTTTAAAGGAACATGCTTCATAATGGTGCATTCCCAAATATCACACTGGTGCATTTTTAAAACACTCTAAAAGAAAGACAAACTGTTTTTCACAAATTTAGCATTTCAGAAGTCAGTCCAAAGCCAGTGAGGCACTTTTAAATTCTTGTAAAATAGGAAAGCATAGCAGCTAATTTACCCACAATCAGTCGTTTGATATTGTTAAATGATAATCATAGTCTTAGAGTAATACAGCAGGGAAACAGGCCTTTCAGCCCAAACTGGTCCATGCTGACCATGGTGCTCACTCAGTTAGTTCCAATTGCCTGCATTTGGCCCAGATCCCTCTTAAAACCTTCCCATCCATGTACCTATCAAAATATTTTTTTAAATGTTGGTATTGTACCGGCCTTGATCACTTCCTCTGGCAGCCCATTCCATTTATGCACCACTCTCTGCGTGAAGAAGTTGCCCTTCAGGTCCTCCTCAAATCTTTCCTGTCTCACCTTAAACCTATTCCCTAGTTTTCAATTCCTCATCCCTGGAAAAAAGACTGTATGCATTCATCCTATCTATGCCCCTCATGATTTTATACACCTCAACAAGGTCACTACTCATTCTCCTATGTTCCGAGGAATAAAATTCTATCCTGGCCAACCTGTCAATGTAACTCGGGTCTGCTAGTCCTGGCAACATCCTCATGAATCTTCTTTGCACACCTTCCAGTTTAACCATGTCTACCCCATAACCGGGTGACCAAAACTGTACATAATATGCCAAGTGCGGCCTCACCAACAACTTGTACAACTGTAGCATAATGGCCCAATTCCTGTACTCATTGCGGCGACTGATGAAGGCCAGCATGTGAAATGCCTTCTTCACCACCTTGTCCACCTGTTACGCCGCTTTCAATGAACTGTGTACTTGTACTCCTACGTCCCTCTGTTCCACAGCGCTCTTCAGGACCTTACCATTTACTGTTTTAGTATGTTATTGCTTAATCAACATCAGATCTTCATGATGTTGATTAAGCAATAATATTGGTCAAGATTGATACAATTGGATCATTTTATGGCTGCCTAAAGGGCTTTGATTGAATGTCTCATCTGAAAGGTGGCGCTGTTAACTAAGTAGCCCACCCTCAGTACTGCCCAGAGTGTCAGCGGGGATTATGTGCTCAATTCACTGAAGTTGTACTCCTTTGAAAGTTAGTGGTGAACATAATACCACAGAGCAAAGCTGATATAAAACTGCAAAATTTCACTTGCAATGCCGTAGGTAATATGATGTTTCAAAGTTTGTTTTCTTTGTTTTCTTGCCTTTCCAGGTCAGGAGAATGAGCTGGTTGCTCTTATTCCATACAGTGATCAGAGGCTGCAACCGCAACGAACGTCAGTATTAATAGTTTACTGTTGTAACAATTCGGTATTTTACCAACAGCCAGAAAGAGGAAAATTGGTTCCAATCTTGGGGTATGATTTCTTTGCAGAAAGCTTTATGTGGCAGTTGCTGTGGTGATCAGCCTCCTGATTAGTGGACTTGCAATCTTCTTCCTGTTCCCACGTTCCATTAAAGTAGAACATGTTGGTATTAAGTCAGCCTACGTCACCGATGACACGACAAATTATAGAGTTGTTCTTAAAATAACGGTAGGTCCATCTTACATTAGATGTAATTTAAATTCTGGCCGGAATGTGGCTTCTGTGAGCTATACTGTCTGTTGCAAAATTGGAAAATATCGGTTATATTGGCACATTGATCTTTGCTGAAAATTTAAGGCAACTTTATTCTGCAGCATCTGATGCAAAGGGTGGCAGTGGAGGACAACAATTGCTGGCCTTGCTATTAACATACACATATCATGGAAAAATTTTTAAAAAGTCAGAACTAAATATTCAACAGACACTGCCTCCCTATTCCAAAGGACGAACTTCTCTGATGTAATGGTTGTGTACTAAATGATTTGGACTGTTTCAGTTAAGCCTCCAGAAGATCCTACTGCATAACATGAAACTGCCCACAGCTCAGCACCAATTAATACAAATGTCTCATTTTACTGTACTCTGAAAAGCCAGAATGATGGCTGTTTTGGAAAATGGAGAAGTGTCTACTGTTTATTAACAGTAGACACTTCTCCATTTTCCAAAACAAGGTAAGAAATGATGTTATGGTTTAAAAACCATGAACAGGAGTAGGCAGCTCAGCCCCTCAAGCCTGTTCTGTCATTCAGTATGATCACGGCTGATCTCATCTTGGTCTCAAGTCACTTTCCTGCCCATTCTCCATAACCCTTCAACCCATTACTAATTAAAAATCAGTCTGTCGCCTTCTTAAATTTGTTCTCTGACCCAGCATTCACCACACTCATCATAATTCCACAGTTTCATGACCCTTGGAGAGAAATAATTTCTCCTCATCTTGACTTTAAATTTCCTACGCATTCTCTTAAAACTATGATCTCTCATTTTAGACTGCCCCACAAGAGGAAACGTTATTTTGATATCTACTTTGTCAATCCCCTTTAGCATCTTGTATATCTCAATTAAATCTCCTTTCATTCTTCTAAACCTTGCAGAGTATAGGCATAAACTGTTCAGTCTCTGTTCATAAGGCAAACCCACCATCTAAGGAACCTCCTGTGAGCCACCTCCAACTAAATCCTTCCTCAAGGATAGGGCCACCACTGTACACAGTATGTCAGGTGCAGTTTCACTAATGTCATCTACAGTTGCTGCAACTCTCTTCTTTTAGCAAAAAATGCCAAAATTCCATTTGCCTTCCTTATAACCCAGCTGTACCTGCATCTTTGTTATCTGCCGTTCATGCACGAGGACCCAGATCCCTTTGCTCCGAAGCATTCTGAAGTTTCTCTTCATTTAGATAATAAGTTGCCTTTCTGTTCTTCTGACCAAAATGGATAACCTTACACTTAATCACGTTAAACTTCATCTGCCACATTTTGGCCCAGTCACATAACTTATACATTTCCATTTTTAAATTCCTTATTTCGTTAATAAACCCATTTTCCACCTATTTCAGTGTCATCTGCAAATTTGGCTATAGCACCTCCTATCCCTGCATCCATGTCATTAATATAGATTGCAAATAGTTTGGGTCTGAGGACTGAATCCTGTGGCTATCTGTTCATTACATCTTGCCAGCCAGAAAAAGACCTGTGTATTCTGACGCTCTACTTTATGGTTAGCCTATCCTCTATCCAAGCTAATAAACTAACCGTAACCCCATGTGATCTCTCCTTGTATATTAACTTTTTGTGCGGGACCTTCATAAATGCCTTCTTGAAGTCCAGATATACTGCATTTACAGCATCTCCAGTATCCACTTTGTATGATGCCTTCATTTCTTCTCATTGGGCTTTTGATTGCTAATTTCCTTTTCTCTTTTGCAGAATATAATAAATGTAACGAACTACAACTTCTACAGCATCAGCATTACAGATCTCAATGTGCAGATTGTGTTTTTTAATGAAGTTCTAGGAACTGTCAACATCAAAAACACTACAGTTTTCAGGCCCTTGGGAGGTGGCCAGGTAATGAATATTGGCTCAGTTACTATGGGTGCTGTTGATGTTGTTGCTGTTTTAACAGGAACGTTAATTAAATTTTCAACGGGTTACCCAGAGCAGCGTAATGGCATACCTTTTCAACATGCAAAACTTGTATCTACTAATATCACTAGCACTTACTTCCACTCTCATTGGTTTTGTTTGCTTGTGTTAAGCTCTAGTTCTGTATTCTGTCAAAAGCAGATCTGGCTAGCTTTTGGGAGATAAATAACAGTATTTACAGTAAAAGTCTTTAACTTCAGACACATGCCGTATGGTAATTTTGATCTCTCTATTGAAAGTGAAAAGTGAAAACAAAATACAATGTAAGTTAAGATTGGGACTTGCTCTGACATATGACTTTTTTTCACTTATAACAGAACAGAGTGTCCATATAATTAAAACAAATGAATGGCTTCGTTTTGTTCAATCAAATTTTAGCAGTTTCTCAGACAAGCACTTGAAAACACAGTATCTTTATTGTAGCAAAAACAATATGATATTTGGAGCCCTTGCAGTATTTGGGAAAAATTGTTAAGGGAGTTTATTGGAGGCACAGTAACTTAATAGGTAATAAGTAGGTTTATGCAGATTAGGAATATTCCTTGTTAGAAATGCAATTTGAGTTTTGCTTCCTGTTCTAATGAAATTTAGACCAAATGCATACAATAAACCTCACTAATTGCTAAGGATCACTAATTATTAATGAGTGCTATATATAATTAATTCAGTGTGGAGAAGTTATCACAGATTATTTACTGACACAGATGGAAGGAGGACATCACTGTAACAAGATTCCTTCAGATACTGCTGTCAGAATTGCTCAGTTTCAAATTTGTCATGTTTTGCTTTACAGTTCAAACACTTTGGTGAATTTCATCATTGTTAGTGTGATTCATATTTGTAAACAATTACAGTTATCTTAATTTCATAGAAAAGACCATTTCCTTTTACACTCTGTCAGTCTTGTGTGTCTTTTGCTGATCTATATAGCGTGATTACATATTTTCCTCTATTTCAGATTTTATATGAAGTGACTGCCATGTTAGATGATTTAGGCATGTAGTAAGTATTATAATTGTTGTTTGGAATTATCTGGCCATCGTGGAAATAACAATGGTTTAGGGTAACAATTCCCTTGAGTTACATGTAATGAAAAATAATCTCACTATTCAGTGTAGAAACAAACAAAAATTACACTATGATGTAAAAGAAATAATTAATATTCATTTCGTGCCCTCTATGACTTCAGAAAGTCTTAGAATGTGTCACAGACAATTGAGTAGTCTCAACAGCAAGGCCACTTAATTTATGATAAATTGCAATTCAGATTTGTTGAAGGCTGAATATTGGCCATCACCAGTAGAATTTGCTGCTCTTAATAGATTCCATGGTGCATGTTTTACATTCATCTGAGAATTTAGACATGACTTTGATATAACATTAAATGCAGAAAGCCTCTGACAACCTCTCAGTGTGACATTGACCTGGTAGCCTAAATTCTATACTCCACTTTGTACCATTGTTTCTCTCAGGTTTCTGATTCAGGTGTGAAAATTACTAATTGAGCCAACCTAATACATTTGAAATTCATTTTTAGAGAATGTCTAAGGTGATTGTAATAATTTAACACTGGTACCTTCTGGGCATTCCCAAAAACAGTTACACCTTTCATTTCTCCTGCTTCCTTTCCTGAAGATGACATCTTTTATTGAGCGACTGTTCTGCAGTCTCCAGCAACTAACGTAGCGGACATTCTTCATTATGTGAAGCTGAGACCGTGATTGAATTGATACCTTTGATTTTAAATTAATCTTAATGCTATCTCAAAAACTCCTATTCAGAGAGAATAGTGATGGAACCACTAACAGTATACAAATATAGATGTTACTGAGTAATTTGCTACAAATGTCAGAGAATCTGTAACATTATCTTTTTTTTTGTTTTTGTCTTTAAGCCATTACTGCACAATGCCTGAAATTAAAGTGCACAATATTGTGATCTCAATACAGTAAGTACTGTAATACTAGACTGTTTCTTTAGTTGGTTGAATCTCTATGCAGATGTAATCAAAGTAAATTAATCGAGTCATAGAGTCATACAGCACAGAAACAGACCATTCAGTCCAAGCAGTCTATGCTGAACATACTCCCAAACTAAACTATTCCCAATTTCCTGCGCTTGGCCCATATCCCTCAAAACATTTCTTCTTTGTGTACTTATCCAAATGTTTTTTAAATGTCGTAACTGTACCCACATCCACCATTTCCTCAAGAAGTTCTTTCCACACATGAACCATTCTGTGTTTAAAAAAAGTTGCCCCTTGTGTGTTTTTTTTTTAAATCTTTCTCTTCTCACCTTAAAAATATGCCCCCTAGACTTGAAATCCCCCACCCTAGGGAAAAGACACCTGCCTCTCACCTTATTTGTACCCCTCATGATTTTATAAACCTCTGTAATTTAATTTACTTCATCTAACTGGACCTCTATACTTAACCCTTTGGCAGTGCATCCCATGTCTGAAGGGAACAGTATAATGGCCACATATTCACATATTTTTCCTATTTTTCCTTCTTATCATGAAGGACAGGATGTTCTGTTCTGCATAAGCAGATTGTTTCTGTGTAGTGGTGATTTCCTGAAGCAGACAATTTGTTTTTTGTTGTGGTCCTCTGTTGGAACAAAAGGGTTTTATCCTGGATTACTCCTTTAAATACTGTTCTGTACCTGTGTGATTACATCTTCTTTTCCAACTGGTCTGTTTTCCACAAACAATCTGATCTTCTGTGCAAAACCAAGAATGTGCTGTCCCTTCCAATTTCAATCTGTGCTGTAAATTAGAGCCTCAGTCTGTATATCCTTGCACCTAAAGATGACTTGCAGTTTCAGTCACATCCTTCAGGTCTTGCATTTATCCATGTATCACTGTACTTGGGAAGCTACTGCTAACAGCTAGTCACATTAAAACAATCAACTTGTGAAATCCAATTATTTAATCCTGTTAAATAGAAGCCTTGCTCAAATATGAACAGAGTTAGAACTACTATTGATTGCTAAAATGGATCAGCAAATTAAATGCACCAACAGTCTTCCAAAAATGTGTTTGTAAAAATAACAGGATAAAACTATTGTTAATTCTATTTTTTAAATCTTTTCCAGAGCAACAGTAACAGCTTGGTATCTGTCGCACTCTGAGCAAGTCTCCTTTGATGCCTACCAATATGTTGATTGTGGCTCCAACACCACCCGTCTTCACAGTCCCTACTACCCTTCTCAGGGCAACCATTTGCAAGAGCTGCTCAGTTAACGCAAATGATGTTAGTGCCCTTTCACTAAAGGCTTCCAGCATGGCACAACATGTCCTCCTCTGTGTGTAGATGTTGTGCTCCTGGACTGATGAGATGATCCATCAACCAGTTCTGCACTCGTCTGCCTGATTATTTTATAGTGCTCTGTGTGGCAGTGTTACACATGTAAGAGGAGTACATTAATTTGGATGTCAAGCGTGTAATGGTAATTTGATAATCTGACAGTTCTAGTAATGGAACATTCTGCTGAATTACCGGAGCTGGACGATAAGTTAAATTTAACTGGGGAATGACTAGGGACTGAACTGTGAACTAATGTTTGTTGATTGATTTCAGATATAATAGCTGCACCTTTTGTGGCCTTGAAATTTAAATATGTTTCCTTAAATAAGTCACATTTCATGCATTAGGTTGTTGCCCCCTTAGTAAAGGGACATAAATGTCCAAAATGCTTCTTTTCATGCAACATTCGTAGGCAACATTCTGGACAACATCTGAAAGGTTCTTGTACATTTATAGAACATTAATACTGCAATCCCTGAAAATACTTAATTACAGAAAGGTAGTATTCCCAATCACTAATATGCAGTGACAGATTATGCAAAGTCAGATACCCCAACACATTCTGATGTGTTCTTTATTGTGTTCTGAAAAGCCACATTGTTTATTATACTAGTGCCATTTGTGAATATACACTACAGCTCCTGTATGGTTCAGTGGATAAATGTATTGAGATATTGAGCTAATTGGGTCAAGATCACCCTCTTTTTGATCCTGACTTGTTCTGAATTTAGATGATCTCAGTACAAAGAGAGGGTTTAGATGATTCAAGTGCAAGTTACCTCAGTGTTCATGAACTAGAGCATGAAGAGTTCACTGTGATTCCCACTTTAATTATGAATGTTAAGTGAATTTAAGATTGATGTGATGCTTCCTATAATTGAATCGGTTGCAGGCCCTCAATAACAGCCCCAAACTGATTCCAAAGAGTGCACAGGAAAGTATATTGCAGTGGGATGACATCCCTTCAGCAAAGGGGAGAATGTTGGAGAGGAATTTTTTAAAAAATAAGCCTTATTTAGATAAATACTCAGCAAAACTTTACAGCCAGCCCCAAAAGATGCCCCCAGTACATAAGCATAAGGAGATCTGAGTGTGACTGTGTCTCGGCCATACAGAGCAGATACCCATATTTTAAAAGCCTTAGACTTACTAATGTAGTTAATAGTCCTGATTCAGTATTTTCTCTGTAATATATGTAGTGTTCTCTCCCTTTATTCATTGGGGAGGATGTTAGCATTTACCACTTGCATGCACACTTCAAGTTCTTTTAGTGATGGGACGGAAGGTGTAGTTATTAGCACAGAAGATGTTATTACAACAATATCGGTCACAGCTGACCACATTATAAGTGCAGTAGTTCATTCCTGCTCGAGCAGTTTTTAACCATCGAAGATTTAAAGTAATTTGAAGCAGGATATTGTTCTTGCCTTAAACTGAATCATACAAACCCAAGCAAACTTTTATCCGAAGTTTACTTTGATGGGCAGTTGGGAAGAATTCATTGTCATGATGCATGGTTCTTGAGTGGTTGCTATCCATTGGATTATGTTTGTTGCTGAGCGGAAACATTCTTTAAAACTTAGTTTCCCACTTTTGATGCATGTTTAATAATGACCCAGTTAGAAATTGATTGATTGGGTGAAGCAGAATTTGCTTCCATTAAATTTGCAAACGCTGCATCAGATGCTTTTACTCAGTTTGTAAGATACATGTGGTCTTTTGCATTATTTCTACCTTCAGTTTTGCTCATTGCTGCAACCACCTGGAACTTTAGATTTGCATCAGCAATAGAAGTAAAGCTGTCCTGTGTTGTCCCTCACAGATAATTAAATGTTGAAGAATTGTTAGTATTTCTTGATTTAAGGAATACTTCTGTGCATTTACTGTTTCAGGCCAAACTATAATCTTGTCATATTCATGTTTCAATTTGAAATTACACTTTCTCAAGTAAACTCTCTGTCCGCACATCCAATGGTTTTGGAGCTACCAATCATGGTGCATTCTGAATCTTGAAGTAGGAGTAAACAATTGTTTGGTAGATCGTGCCTTCTTAAAGGAAGAAAGATTTGTGTAGTTAGATTCTGTGGGATTTCAGTCGAGTGTTGAATGGAACTGTAAATCAAAGAAAAGTCACAACCAGGGCTAATCTTATGTTTTGTTAATCTGTATCATATTGAAGTTATTGACCAAAGTAATAATTATATTGAATCTGATTAAACCAATCCATTCTGTCCTTTGTGGTGGTCACTGACAATTGCTGATTAGCATAAGGGCAAATTTTATGGCCTTTTATATGCATTAAAAACAGCAGATTATCACAGAATTTATTTTAAATGACCAAAGCAAGTAAGTACATTGGATATGTGGTGATGTTAGTCCTTAAAATTTATTCATGCTTCTGATATTTTAAAAATAATTAAAGCTGAGTTTAGTAAACATTTCATTGTCTAAGAAAATGTATTTATGATTTCACAGGCCAGATGAAGTGTTTATTTTCACCCTGATGATGTTTGTACCCATAGTAGTTAGGTGAACTTAGTTAGGTGATAAATATTGTGTGTAGTCACTTTTGAGTTGCTAACATTTCCTGAAGGCAAAAGTACTTATTTATAGATTCAATTCTATTTAGCAGTATGATCACTTGTATGCAATACTGTGTTTCCTTCACAGGGAATACATATGAGGTTCGTTATCATGTAATGTAAGGACATTTTATTTTACTAGGAATAATATTTATGTAATATAACAATATACATCATCAGACATAAAAGACATTTCAAATTTAAACTGATACATGTATTTTAAGCTTTTGCTGTAATATTCCTTTCTTTATATTGCTGTGCTATACTTGCCTCCTCATTTTTCTTTACTATTATTCATTGCATGAGCATTGCTGGCGGGGCTAACGTTTAGTGCCGATCATTAATTTCCAATGTGGTATCCAGTTGCTTTCTTGAAATTCTGCAATTCATGTGGTGTAGGTGCACCAACAGTGTTTATAGGGTGGGGTCTGGGATCTTCATCCAGCAGCAGTGAAGTGAGAAGAATATCTTATGTACAGAAAATATTTTCAGTGCAGATTGACATGACAGAATTTATTATTCTTTGACTCTTCTTGTATGTGTATTTTAATTAACTTTTATGCCTGACACTGCACTATTATAGGTACAAAGTTGAGAAGTGGTGTGCAAACTTGAAAGGCTGTAGACAAACAAGTGTGCAAATTATATGTTTAAAGTTTGAGCCCTTGACAGCCAGTGGGTGTGATGCACGAAATGGGAGTACGTTAGTCATAGATGTACCTCAGTTAGTAAATTTGTGGCCTAAAATGTATGTGGCCATGCAGACCAGTAAGTGTCATACTCAGTCTCTGGTCTGTTTTACATCTGAGCATGGACAGCATTGGACATGCTACAGGTGGCCTCAATGCCCCGGAGCTAGTTAACTGAAGTATATCTGAGTTCTTGCTCTTGAGTATTATATACCAACTCTGGCTAGTAACTTCAAGTGATGGATTTAGATGGGATCAGGCTCTGAAGCAATGATCTCCACATTTGATAGTTCACCACTGTTCACTGCCTATGCTGAAGCATAAAGAATAGCATCTTGGGCAAGAGGTATGTAAGCTGTAGACACTTGTGGAACTTCTGTCCACAGTCAGAATCTTCAGGAAATTGAAGGAGAAAACAAGGATTCATTTTGAGAACTTGCTTGGTATGCATACTAATATTAATGATTGAAATAGATCAAATGAGGAACTTCAACTGAAATAATTTAATTAACATCTCCATTATATAATTATATTTTTAGATTTTTAGACTTTTAACAATGTTTTACAATTAGCATGTTACTTTGATGTTTAACTTTGCAGAGTATTTCACTCATTTATGCATAAACTTGTTGGTGCAATGACAAAGGACAGAAGACCTTCCTGCAGAGTATTTGAGCTTGCACTGTTCCCTAAAATTGCGTCTAATATAAATAGACGTGAATGAAGTTTAAATGTAGTTCGCATAAAATTCTATTTACATAACTGTGTTCTCATTTTTAAATATACAAATTGCCAGATATGAGGCAGTAAATTAAAAATGAATTTTAATCCTGAGCTTCAGGTGAATTTAAGCTTTGTTTGGCTGGCTCATAACATGACCTGAACCCTGGATTAAGTTTCAATTTTGTAATTCCTTTGCAGGTATCATTATTTCACGTAATTAAGTATTCTAAAGACATCTTTCAAGGCAGCCCATGATAATTAGTTAAGCCTGTGAAATAGATTGCCTCCTTGCAATAAATGTTTTCAGTCTGTATTACTGATAAATCATGGGATGAACACAAAAGGTTATTAAACTACACTAAATAATAACACAGCTGGTAAACCACCACTGCTGCTGTGTGATGGGGTTTTACTCAGATTTTCTTAATTAAATATTCTCAGTGGAAGGTAGGCTAAACATTTTAGTTAGTAATTGAGCCTAACAGTGATTTGAAACATTGTTTAACTAGGTAATTAAGTGATGGGGCCTCAGTCAGCCAGGTTCAAGTAAATAACTTACTTGTGGAGTATCCCAGTCATATATCTTCGTGTATTGGGAAAGGTATCACTCTTCTTATGTAGTTGTGGACTGGGAACATCTTGTTCTGAAAGGTCCTTAACTCCTGCCATTGAGAAAACTAGCCCTGAATTGGGTGCTCTCAGTCAACTGGTGTGAAACCCTCAGTGCAGCGCTTGTACTCTTGGATTTAACTGTTCAGATTATAAAGTAATTTCTGATGTTAATAATTGATGGCATGAAATTATATCACCAATAACATCATTGAGTATTTATCCATGTGCAAACCCAGTGACACTTTATGGTAACCACACTGCTGTAGTCCAAGGAAAATGTAAAAATGAAAGTGTTGATCTTAACGCTACTAATTACATTGGTTTATGAAAATGGGAAAGATGTTTTCATTCATTCTTTACGTACAGCCAATATACACAACAGAAAGATAACTGGTAATTGAATTTTTGATGTCCAACTTAATTGCAAAATGATAAAATATTCTTTTAAATGTAGTGAGTTTTGTGGAAAGTGTTGTGTCACACTTAAGTATTGTTTTAGTTTGGTACTACCCTATGTTTTCAAATGGATTGTCTTGTAATTGTGGCTTTTTTGCTGATTAAAGGATAATTGACATTTCTTTGTGATGTTGAATTACTATATTAATGCATAGTAATTTGTAATTAATGGAAATCAGTTGCAGGCTAATGCGACAGTTGTGACCTGGATATCAATACTGAACGTTTTGAAATGGGTTAGGAGGATTAAATGGCATGAAAACTATCACCACCTTGGATAAACTGGGGTTCTCTTGCATTATCATTTGCAAGTCATTCATGTTTGCTCTGGTAACACGTAGATGGAATTCTGTCAAAGAATGTCAATTCTAAATATGACCTCATATTCCCATTCAGATTTAATTTTAATTTCTTTTCATTGAATATATAAACTGTTTCATGTTCAGATTATCTTAAAATGCTTTCACAACTACTGGTCTCCCTTACAGCAACAAATTGTATTGATATAGTGCCTTTAAAATAAAACATTCCAGGATACTTCACAGAGTCTATATAAAACAGAATTTCACTTCACATAAGGTGGTAGTAGAGCTGATTACCAAAAGCTTGGCCAAAGAGGCATGTTTTAAGGAGTGTCTTAAGTAAAGATAGGAAATTTTAGAGAGGGAATTCCAGAATTTAACATCTAGGTGACTATAGGCATGGAGCATTTAAAATGTGCCATGTTCAAGAGGGCAGAATTAGAGTTCTGCAGAGATCTGGTTCTTGGGTCTGTAGGAGATTACAGAGATAGGGATGAGAACATGGAAGGATTTTAAAATGAGGATCAGAATTTTGAGGTCAGGATATTGGTTGACCAGGAGTTATCGTTGGTCAGCAAGCACAGATACAATAGGTGAATAGTACAGAGTATGAATAAGGGTATAGACAGCAAATCTTTTGAATGGCCTCAAGTTTTCCAACGGTAAATTTTGAGATACTAGCTTGGAGTGCATGATAATAGTCAATTATAGAGGTAAAAAGGGCAGAGTTGGGCAATGTTGTGGAGATGAGAAAAGGCCGTCTTAGTGCAGATGCAGATAGACGGTCAGAAGTTCATATTTAGTTCTTAAATGACACTAGGTTTGTGAACAATTTGATCTCGAGGCTGAACCATCGTCACAGAGGGGTAGTCTTGCAGGGACTGAAGATGGTGGCTTTGATCTTCACACTATTGGAGGAAATGTCTGCTCATCCAGTTATGGATATCAACAAACCATTTAGCAACAATGGTGGAATCGTGAGAGGTGGTGGTGGTGAGATCGAATTTAGTGTCATCAGTGAACATGTGAAAGCTGTTTTCAGTTGAAGTCAAGGAAGGGAAGTATGTAGGTGGCAAGTAGAAGACAATTAGACCAAGGCTAGAGTCTTAAGGGTCCTGCAAGATATGCATGAGCAAGAGAAGCCATTGGTGATACACTGGCTATAATTCAATAGGCCAAGGTCAAGCCGCCATAGTCTTATCAGACCATCCAGCTGCTCTCTTAGAGATGACTGGTGGTGGTTTAGCCTGAGGGCCACCATACTTCAGGCGAGGGGAGAAGCTGAGAAGTTCGTGGTAGCCTCAGCCGGTGATAGGAATTGAACCCGCACTGTTGGCATAGCACTGCTTTGAAACCAACTGTCCAGCCAACTGAGTTAAAATAGGTAAGAATGTAACCACATGGGTGTAGTCCCACACAGATGGATAACAGTTGAATGACACTGAAGATGGTGTGGTCAACAATGTCAAAGGCTTGCAGGAGTGCAAGAGTGTTTACTATTGTCATCATCACAAAGACTGTCATTTATAACATAATGCTATTTCAGTGTGATGGCTGGGGCAGGTATCTGAATACAAGAATCCAAACAAGGGCATCCTTGATGCTGGCAGAAACTGGTAGAAGTGCTACAGGGAGTAACATTAGTGTTTTAAAACCCTGGGTTAGTAGAAACTACGTTTTTACTTGAACCGTGAATAAATTAACCCGATCTTCAGTTTATGGCAGTAGATCTAATCGTATCTTCAGATGATAATGGCAACACATCTGGGTTACATCTGCTTATTCTGGCATATTTTGTGTGATGCATTTGATTGGAACTCAGCACTGCTGGAATGTTCCTATTCATAATGTCCAAATGGTGAACACTGCACCTATTTAATTGCCTCACTTTATTGCTGGTATAGAATGTTGTTGTATCACAAAAAATACAGCTCCCTTGGCTGCTTCTGACCAAAGCCTAAAATTTGGAAACTTTGAGAGCTGTTATGTGAATTTTGCATGACATGTTTACCAAGGATAGAACATGGGAGACTGGCTAGGGATGCATTGGATTGTTCATGTATACAGGTAACAACAATACAGCATTTCAGATTAATTGCTCAACTCAGTCTCAACCACAATGTTGTGGCGGTCGAAATAGGCAGTCTGTGCTGGTGCAGATGGATGGTCAGGCATTCATTCCAGGCTCATAAATTGGTGTTTGTGAACTCCTTTGCTTAGCCTCAGATATCGTCTTTAAATGAGAAACATGTAATCAGTTTAAACATCATGTTACTACCATACACAAGCTAGTCTTAATTGAGCTGCTAGCATCTAGCATGAATATTGTTAAATAGTTGCGAGTCATGTACTGAACCACAAATGGATTCGAATACATAATTCCTCACCGTTAAACTCCCAATCTTGGCTATTCTTTGACAGAGCATTCAACGCTGTAAGGGGGAGGGATGCATGATGAATAATGTCTTGAAACAGTGCTAAGGAACATTGATAGCAAAAATAAGAATGTATTTGAATAAAGTTCTCTTTGTTTAAAATGTTTAATCTGTTTCATATGGGCACATTAATGGAACTTCTTTTAATAGTATTGCACATGGTAATTTCAACCCTAGAAGTTGGTCAGACCTTTTTTTTTCAAGCAATTTGAGCATATAGTGTAAAAGAATTGTTGACAGGAATTGTGTCCTGCAGTGGAACAGATACATTTTGAAATAAGTGGTTTATTGCACTGTGACTTCTTTATAAGCGTCATAGAGAAGTATGGAGTTTATACAGTAACTTTCAGATTAAATAAATTTAGTCCTAGTTACAGAATCAAAGATTGTAGAGGAAAAGGAGGAGTTGTGCTAGTAGGTGACAAATAATGCATAATGTTGACAAGATTTTGAGTTGAGCTTTTCAGACTGGTACTGGGGTTGTTCAACAAGCTACATGGATCAATCAGGACTATTTTACATTCTGGTGTTGTCCATTTAAAGCACTGCTAATACAGAACTTTTCTCAGTTGGAAGGAAGAGTTTTCATTATCTTGAGTTTAATGATCTCAATAATTCAGTTCTTCACCATTGTTGATTATAGTCTGTAGACTGAAACCCAAAAAGGAACAAAGAAAAGGGCACATTAAAATCATCGTCAGATTTGTATTCAACAAACAAGAGCTTTATGTGCAGGCCTATACTTTAAGGTTTAACATACTTATGTTTTAATTTGTGTATATTATTTTGGTTCGCTCCCAATACACTTCATGCAGGTTCATTTAAAAAGACAATTCCCTGGCATCCCTTTGTCAATTACAAGCCCAAACATACCTTCTCATTTCATCCGCTCATGATCTGCTCATAAAACTTAACCCTTTTATTTGACATTTCAAGAGATTACGTGGGGCAACATTCTCTCATGTTCACTCCAAGTTGCTGTTACATTAATGTTCAGACTGAAATAGCTTAAGGTATTTGCTAGTAACAGTCAACACAGTGTGGAGCTGGAGGAACACAGCAGGTCAGCCAATATCAGAGGAGCGGGAAATGTAAAACTACTGTTCATATGCTACCTGGTTGCATGGTTGGCTTTTAATGTTACCTTAGTGAAACAGCTTTCTGATCTTATGTATACAAATCTGCCTTTGGAGTTCAAAATGAACTGGAGGAGTTGCTGGTTTTCTGTGGGTCTCGAGTGCTTTTGTTTGACTGTTTTCCAAACCGAGAACTCAGTGTAAGACCTGAGTCTTAAGACATTTCAGGTTTACACACATCTCCAAGTGATCCACACTGTGTTGACTCTGACTCCAGCATTTGCAGTTCTTGCTATCTCCAAATATTTGCTAGTAAGGGTATTTCAGAGTCGAAAATATGCAGCAGATACCCAGCAATATAATGCTTGACCTACAGACTATTTAAGGGTCTGGAAATAGACTTTAAAAGTCCCAAGGTCTTACACTGAGTTCTTGGTTTGGAAAACAGTCAAACCAAAGCACCCGAGACCCACAGAAAACCAGCAACTCCTCCAGTTCATTTTGAACTCCAAGGGCAGATTTGTATACATAAGATCAGAAAGCTGTTTCACTAAGGTAACATTAAAAGCCAACCACGCAACCAGGTAGCATATGAACAGTAGTCATATTGGTGTTTTTACTTCCTTTTGAAGGCAAACTTTCATACGAAACAGCATTCCTGCTCTCATGGATCCAGTGGTAATGAATGTTTTTCATATGGATACTTAACCTTGCATGTGTTAACATTTCAAAAACGCAACAATGTCATTCACTGGTATATATGTTTTTATGTATGAGTCTAGATGACTCGTTTGTATGTGTATATATGGGTGTCTGGATGTATGTTTTTTTTTTAAAAAGCCAATCTCAATGGACTGGTCATGTGGACAGATAAGTGGCAAAATGGTTTTCAACCCAGACAAGTGAAGTGTTGCATTTGGGGAGGCCAAACAAGGTAAAGGAAAATATAATTAATGAGAGAATGTCAAGAGGTATAGAGGAAGCCTGGGAACCTTGGATTGAATGTCTGCAGATGCCTGAAGGTAATAGGACAGATCGATAAAGGTATTTAAGAAGGTATGTGGAACCCTTTACTAGCTCAGGTTCAGAATATAAGAGCCAGGAGGTTCTGGGAGAAGTGTATATTAGTTAGGCCACAAGTTGAGTACTGTGTGTAGTTCTGGCCACCTCATTACAGAAAGGATGTAATTGCACTAGAGAGGGTCCAGCGGAGATTTACAAGGATATTGCCAGGTTTGGAAAAGTGCAACTATGAGGAAATATTGGACAGGTTGGCATTGTTCTCGTCAGAACAGAGGAGGCTGAGGGGAAATTTAGTCAAGATGTACAAAATAAGAGTGCACTGGCTGAGTGGATGAGAAGGAGACTTTTTCACAGGAGAAACAACCTTTCTGCATCTGTCGTGTCAAGTATCCTAAGAATCTTGTATGTTTCAGTGAGGTCACCTCTCATTTTTCTAAATTCCAATGAGCACAGGCACAACCTAGTCTACACCCCCACCTCATAAAAGTATTACCCTTCACACCTGGTATCAGCCAAGTGAACTTTCTTTGTGCAATTTCAATGCCAGTATATCTTGCCTTATATAAGGAAACTGAAACTATTCACAGTAATCCAACTGTGATCTGACCACTGCCTTTTATAGATGTAGCAAATCCTTCCTACTTTATATTGTAGTCCCTTTGAAATAAAGACAACATTCGATTTGCCTTCCCTATTACTGAAATTGGGTTTTTTCTGTGATTCATGGACAAGAACTGTTCTGTATCTTTTTGTCCAGTGTACAATGTGGAACAATACAGGGTTCAGTTCATAGAAACTGCATCTGCATTTTGGAAAAAAGTACAAAATCATGCAGACAATGAACACTTACTGAGTATCTTTTAACACGTTTATAACCAGGGCTCTGAGCTTCAGGTGGAATTTCAGGCACAGGAGCTTCTAGAAAAAGAGAAAATCTCAGCAAATGTGATTTTATATTCCTATCAGTGACATTTTGAAACTTTACCATTTCTTATCCTGCCTTCTATCTCCTCCCCTGACAGGTCAGCCTTGGAATTCATTGAGGTTCCAAGGAATCTGCAGCCCTCAGCTCCTTACATAAGAATCCATGTTCAAAACTTGTTTACAGATAGGGCATCCTGGCAGGCTATCGACTTTGGGTGAGTATCTCCTGATCGTAGGCTCCTATCCATAAATGCTCAAAAACAAAAACCAGGAATTGCAGCCCTACTTAGTTATGCCCCTCCATGCACAGAATCTCTAAACCAGGACAGCAGCTGGAAACAGTTCAGCACTAAACAGACAATTAACTTGATTGAGGGCATCCTCAGCTGTAATGGTTAGTACAGCATCACATGATGCATCTATCCGTTAAGCTACTGGGCAGCTCTATCTTGCACTTTAAATCATTAGGGTATTTGGAAAGATGTCACAGAGTGAGGCTATTAAAAAGGTCACATTTATTGCCAAATTTTGTCTGAAATTGGTCTTCATTTCGTATTGTGGACGCAATGGTCTCTGAACTTTTGAACTGACTCAATCCTTGTTCTTGCCTGATTTGGGGAGATATAGCCAAACCTGAATCTGTTACTGTCTGATAACTCAAACACGCGTAGCATGCAAAATGCAGAACCATACCCCTGGTCTTATGACAGGATAAATGGGGGAAATGGCAACATAACATTGAAAATAAAGCAGGAGGAGAGAGTTTGTTTGAAAGGAAATGAAAGTAGGTTTAAAAAATCAAAACTCATGGGGCAGGTTTGGAAAGAAGTCAAGACAAATGGTGACAGTGATGACCTTGTGCTTTGATTTTAAAATGTGTTTGTTCCAGAGGAAAGAAAGACAGATCATATATAAGGAATTCTTCAGTTTTTGTCCTTTAAAAGAATAAGATAGAGCAGGAGCTGGTGTAGTTTGATGATTTTGGCAAGGAGGAAAATTCTGAAGGATTACCGGTTTGCACTTGAAAGGAATAGGACAGGAGCATTTTGAGAAACATTGACATCAGAAAGTAACACAAAACCAGCAAAGCTAACAAAAGAAATATGTCTTAATTAAGATATATACTGTATTAAATATAATATTAACTGTACTTGTACCTTTGCTTCTTGTTGGATGATTTGAAGGTTTAGATCGTTTCTTTTTCATAAGCTCCTCCTGAAACAGGAACAATGAAATCATATTTTCTAACTATGGCCCAGAAGAAGCCAAACAACTTGTTAAGATAAACTGGTGGGTGTTTATGATCTCTGGAACAATATGAAAGAATGACAAAAAGCAGTTGTGAATTACAGTCGGTTCTGCTATAATACGTGTTCCGTCAACGCGAACTTGTGTTGGCTATAATACGATTCCATAGATGTGCGGAGAAGTACGCACTGACATCACGATCGTTTCATGGGCTTTGACGTGAATAGGTACAGTGTTAGCGCTGAAGGAGTTTCCGCGTTATAGCAGAACCGACTGTGTGCGGTGTTGTTGTTAATCGGTCTACGAAAATTTTCCAGCCAGGGCAACATTGTGGTAAATTGCCTCTGCACTTTCTCCGGTGTCATCACATGCCTTCTAGTGGATTCCAGAACAGTACAAAATACCCTAGCTGTCGCCTGCAAGGCCAGCTGCACGTGGTACTGTCTGGACTCTGCTTAATGCTAAGATCTCATTACACATGTTGATACAATCAGGGAAACGGGGAGAGACAATGACATGAGGTAGATGATCAGCTATGATCTAGTACAATGGTGGAGTGGGTCTGAGCAGCCAAATGGCCTATTGCTAGTCCTCTGTTCCTCAAGCATGGGGACAGACCAGCCACACTTTTCAGGGGAGAATACATTAAGGGAAATTACTTTCTAATCAACCTGTTCAGAGATGTTATTACACACTTCTCGAACAGATGCAACTTGAACCTAGGCCTAAACTGCCTGTTTGTGCACACACTGTGTAACAGGTGCTGTCCTGTTACTGTTAAAACAATCTAACATGCGGTATGTGGATCTTGCATGACTGTTGCAAATTGAGGAAACATTTGCCTGGATTCTCTAAGGTCCCAGTGGACATATTTCTCAAACACCACCTTTAACAGTTGACTTCTGGTTGCAGTGGAGTATACAAGACACCCAGGAACCGTCACCATAGTGCAATATTTAAAACAGGCAGTAATGGACTTTTAGGTCATTTGGACTTGCAATAATCAAACACACTACGACTGGGGTTCTTCCAAGATTCGCTGCGCCACACAGCTTGGGGATTTGCCAAGTTTGATCAGGGCCGTGCTCCAATGGTAGGACAGCAACATCCCAAGGTTGGCAACATAAAACAAATCAGCCAGGTTTAGAATTACTGATTTCTGGCCAATGATCCCTTTTCGAGAAATGAAAGGGCGCTGGAAGTATAAGCACAACAAATCTTCAATAGTGTCGGTTACACATAGAATTCACAGGCCATTTGAGCCTCCAGCTGCAAACAGTGTTTAACTATTTTAAATCAATCCAGTTGGACGGGTGGGACTTGAGCCCAGACTTTCTGCTGTGGAGAAAGGGACACTACCACTGAATTAGACATCCCCCTCAGTTAGTATTCATATTACACGCAATTGATCTTCTGTCAGAACTTGTGCAATAACACAAGTCCCTTTAACCCATCAGAGAGTCACAGTCATTGTACTCTACAGCACAGAAAAAGGCTCTTCAGCCCATTGTGTCCATGCTGGTCAAAAGCAACCACATAACTATTTTAATCCCATAGCCTTGTCTGCCTTGGCATCACAATGGCACATCTAAACACTTCTTAAATTTATGATAACTTCTTAAATGTATGATGGTTTCTGTCTCTACCACTCATTGCCAGTGAGTTCCAGATTCCCACCACCCTCTGAGTGAAAAACAATTACCTCACATCTCCTCTAAACCTTCTGCTCTTTAACTCTATGCCTCTGATCCAGGCACCGTCGTGGTAAATCGCCTTTGCACCCTCTCCAATGTTATCACATCCCTGCTATAACGTGGATTCCAGAATTGTAAAAAAACCCCTAGCTATCGTCTAACCAACATTTATACAGTTCCAGCATAATGTCTCTGCTTTTAAACTCTATGCCCTGGCCAATTAGGGCAAACACCTTAACCACTTTATATTCCTTGTCCCGCTACCTTAAGTGGATTCTGATCCTCGGCGCTTCCCAGGATCGGACATTCCCTGTTTATCCCATACAAGTGCGTCAGCTCATACTCATCCCGATCTTGCAAATGTTGATAGCTATATTTACTCCTTTTCATAAACAAATCCGAATTGTGGTTGGAAGTTGCTGTGTGTATGGCCACTGGATTCACACAGCACCTGACCACCTCAGTAACCAGCTACAATCTGCTACATTCACACGTATTGGGGCTTATCACAGGGCGACTTTGCAAGCAAGAGGCAGCCACTGTAAAGGAATGAGAGACTGGATCACAAGGACAACTGGCCAACCCGACTCAATGGACAGCTCCCTCTGACACCAGCTAGGGCTCGGCTGAATCAATTATGTGTTCATTACCTACTTGCGGCTGTAAGTCTCGGTGTGCAGAAAGGATGTGTGAAGAGAGCTGTTACCTCCTGTGCCTTGACTCTCTTATCCAGAATCCACTGCCTGCGCCGGCCTTCCCAATGCATTGTAGAGGCCATCGCAAAAGATCACGGAAACTGCAGATGAGGGGCTGAAAGGGAGGGAGGGTGAATGAAAACTTACTTCGAGCCCAAAGCACCAAACTGGCAGCAGGGAGCTTGGGGTGACAGCTCCAAAGACCGACACATACACACACATATTCTCACACACACATACACACACACATATCCTCACACACACATACACACACATTCTCACACACACACATATTCACACACATACACACATATTCTCACACACACATTCACATACACATATTCTCACACACACGTACACACATATTCTCACACAAACATATTCACACACACATACACACATATTCACACACACATACACACATATTCACACACATATTCACATACACACACATATTCATACACACATATATACATACACATATTCACACACATCTACACACATACATATATGTACACATATACATACACATACACACAGTAACATAAACATACGCACACACATACATTAACATACACATACACACACATATATATACACACACATATATATATACACCCACACAAATACACACGTATATACATACACATCTACACATACTTACATACACATCTATACACACATACACCCACACATACAAACACACAGTGCAGGCGTCGCTTAGCAACTGGACGCCAAAAGTTACCGATGGTGGCGCTTGCGGTCTGTCTGTCGTTGATTTCCCGCGACAAATGCTTCTTGATAAACTCCAAAAGTTTTATTTTCGAACACTGCCAGCCTTTAGCCCTTTTGCAAGATGAAGTCACGGTATTTTTAAATCTGGTTTCACTTGCCTCCCCCCGCCGCCTGCTTTGCCCCCCTCCTTCCCTTCCTTCTGTATCCGGGTGAAATCTACAACACAGTACCAGGTCCCCACCTCAGTTTACACACTCAGCCGCACTGTTCTCTGCAGAGTAAGGGCTGAGTGATGGCTGACTACGATAAGGAGCAGCATTTAAAGTGGTGTCATGTTAAAAGGAGGAGCCACACCTGAAACCGGGAGTGTGTGTTTTTGTTTTCAGTAAACCGTTAGATTGCAATTTCTATTGGCATCATTCAAACTTTACAGCCTCATTCCTGGTTATAAATGTAGATCTCTTTGGAATTTCAATAACCGAGTGGTGCATGACAAAACTAAACATTCCAGATGCCCAGAAAGTTACATCAGATGAAGCACCAACTGGGAATTGATCAAATAGTTCAACCAAGTACAAACTATCAGGAGTGCATTCAGTGAGCACACAGGAGTTAGACGTTGCATGATAGCAAGGCCTCCATAACCCACAATGTTCTCTACTTTTTGGTTAACTGACCTATTTATCACACCAAGATTGGCTTCCTTCCTCCGACTGATCACACTGTGGTGCAAGAAACATAACAAAAGGCATACATATATCTAACCATCTCCCATGGCTAGGACTGCAACAGATGAGATTGTGTTGCAAGACATGGTCACGTATCAAATATTTAAAATGTGCACAGTCTAAGGACAGTAAAATATTGATACTCAGCAATATTGATACTCAGTACCCGTGTTTGGTAACAAAGTGCAAGTTTGTAGAATCTAGGAACAGCATTAGCAATTGTGTGTATTTGTCCTCATCAAGAAAAAGATGACAGCTGGGTCATTTTGTTTAAGCTAACACCCAGTAACAGCAAAGAGGGCACATGTACCTTGTAAAATAAAATTTGGTGAAGTAGATGATACAATAGGGCTGTGCTGAACCATCACACAAGAGAAACAGAGTAGAATTAACAATAAGAGACATAAGCCTGGTATGGAAACACAGGCGAACACTCAGAAAGTTGACATCAAGTGCATAAAATGGAGGAAATCAAACATTTTCAAATGTGAGATAGTAGGAACTGCAGATGCTGGAGAATCCGAGACAACAAGGTGCAGGGCTGGATGAACACAGCAGGCCAAGCAGCATCATAGGAGCAGAGAGGCTGACGTTTCGGGCCTAGACCCTTCATTGCTTTGCAGTGTAAACATTGCTGTCCATACGAAAGGACTATATGCGTAGTCCTTGTTTATACGCAAGAAGTGATTCTTTTGGATTATACAGAAGCCTTGCTTCTCCAACTGCCTATACACTGCAACTGTATATCACTGAATGCCTGTAAGGATCAGTGTGACCACTTATCTCTTGAATCAGAAGGCTATGCTCTATTTAAGTGCTGTGCCTGAAATTTGAACACACTATTAAAACTGACTTCCTGTATAGTACTGAGGGAATGCTGTGCTATAGTGTCATCGTCATAGAGTTGTCCAGCACAGAAACCGACTCTTTGGTCTAACCCATACATGCTGACCAGATATCCTAAATTAATCTAGTCCCATTTGCCAGCATTTGGCCTATGTCCTTCTAAGCCCTTCCTATTCATATACCCAGCCAGATACCTTTTAATGTCGTAATTAGTCCAGCCTTAACCACTTCCTCTGGCAGCTCATTCCATACAAGCACTACCCTCTGCATGAAAAAGTTGCCCCTTAGGTCTCTTTTATATCTTCCCCCTCTTACCTTAAACTTATGCCCTAGTTTTGGACTCCCCTACCGTGAGAAAAACACCTTGGCTATTTACCTTATCCATGCTCCTCATGATTTTATAAACCACTGTAAGGTCACCCTTCAGCCTCCAAAGCTCCATGGAAAATAGCCCCAGCTTATTCAGCCTCTCCCTATAGCTCAAACCCTTCAACCCTGGCAACATCCTTGCGAATCTTTTCATGTTTAACAACATCCTTCCTATAGAAAGGCGACTAGAATTGAATGCTGTATTCCAAAAGTGGCCATACCAATGTCTTGTACAGTCGCAACATGATGTCCCAACTCCTATAGCAAGGCCTCCATGATAGCAAGGCCTCGATAACCCACAATGTTCTCTACTTTTTGGTTAACTGATCTATTTATTACACCAAGATTGGCTTCCTTCCTCCGACTGATCACACTGTGGTGCAAGAAAAATAACAAAAGGCATACATATATCTAACCATCTCCCATGGCTAGGACTGCAACAGATGAGATTGTGTTGCAAGACATGGTCACTGCACTGACCAATAGAGCCAAACATACCAAACGCCTTCTTCACTACCCTGTCTACCTGTGACTCCACCTTCAAGGAACTATGAACCTGTACCCCAAGGTCTCTTTATTCAGCGACACTCCCCAAGATCCTACCACTAAGTGTATAAGTTCTGCCCCGATTTGCCTTTCCAAAATGCAACGTCTCACATGTTGTAGGTGATGCTGTCATTTGGATGACTTATGATATTCTGTCTGCCTTCTCAGGTTGACATAAAAGATCTCATTTACATGACTTGAAGAAATTCTGCCATGTCTCCTGGCCAGGGCAATACTGCTGTTTGCTGGGTGCAAAATTAAATGCCATGTTTCCTACAAAGGAGATATTTCAAAAGTAGAACATTAAAAACACTTTTATTTAAAAGATAGAAAGATTACCTAATCCAGCATTTTCTATACATATATTAACTAGTTAATCTGCAGACTCTGAGGTTGAGGACACTCAGAGGCTTCTTGTTACAGATAAAATAAAGAAGTACACATCTGCATAGACAGTCTGAGATTTGGAGAACCCTTCCTCCTATTACTGACCCAGTTATATTTTCTGAGGATGCTCGTCAAAAAGTAACATTTTAAACCTGTTAAATAGGAGAGGCAAAATGCATGAGTGGGATTGCAGTCACAGCAAGTTTTTTAAAAATTTATTACTGGTCACAACATATTTATCATGTGCCTTGATTTTGGGAAGTAGAACCATAGGAACGACAATAGGCTGCTTACCATCTTTAACTCTGTTCCAACGCTCAATTAGATCAGAGCTGAGATAGTAGGAACTGCAGATGCTGGAGAATCTGAGATAACAAGGTGTAGAGCTGGATGAACACAGCAGGCCAAGTAGCATCAGAGGAGCATGAAGGCTGATGTTTCGGGCCTAGACCCTTCTTCAGAA